AGCTGCCTGGATCGATAGCACAAAAAGAGTATAGATTGATTCAATATTTGTTAGGTTAAGGAGATGAAAAATACTACTATAAAACCCATTTATAAATCACTTTTCCTTTAATTCCTAGCCCCTTTTCAATAAATAATGTTTTAAATGATATCATAACTAGTTATTGAATAACTCTTTAATTTTCATCCTAGTTATTCTTACGTAATTATTACTATGAAACTTTTGGGAAAGCTTATTATTCACATATATATTCTGTGTTTAATATAATTGTACTTTTTTGATATTTTCGTTAAATATGTAGATTATATAGTTTAGTTACTAATGAATTGACAAGGATAAATAAATTTGTTTTTTTTTTGTTTAATTAACTTGCATTGAACATGTGAATCGATAACTAAATTTTGGTGTTTTATGTAAGAACACAAAACTTCTAAACGAAACCTATTGTGAAAGAAAATGCTATACATAAATATTTGACACTTTAATGAACTTGGCAATATCAACTTTTCTTGGATAGGTTCTTAGTTCATACATATTATATGTACACCTAAATATGTACCAACGAATGTGCATGCACGTACAGTATTATTGCGAGCTTGGATAATGTTTGGTAACCCTTTTTTTTTTTTGAACAACAAAAGCTTTTTCATTCATGTTATCCTGAGAATGTTTGGTAACCTAACCTTGGAAATAAAACTCACTGCATGATTTTCTTCATAATAACTTGTTCCTCTTAATTACATTAATTTTCTAGAATTCTAATTTAGATAAAAAAAAATAAAAAAATTCGTGCAATTAATTAGGGGTGACAAGAGATGGCTTAAGCAAACACTTCTTCCACAAACCATCAAGAGCTTACACCACCGGTACAAGAAAACGACGCAAAATCCTCCAAACCGATCACGATTCCGAGCTAACCGGCTCATCATCAGAAACGAGATGGCACAAAACAGGAAAAACAAGACCGGTTATGATCAACGGTCAACAAAGAGGATGCAAGAAGATATTAGTACTTTACACAAATTTCGGCAAGAATCGACGACCGGAGAAGACAAATTGGGTAATGCATCAATATCATTTAGGGATTAACGAAGAGGAAAGAGAAGGAGAGCTTGTGGTCTCTAAGATCTTTTATCAGACACAACCTAGACAATGTGTTGGTAACATTCATTGGTCGGATCATCATCGTAGTTCCAAAGATGTGATCGGAATCGAAGCCGGAGATGAGATTTCTGGCGTTGCTGCTGCTTTGCAGAGTCTTGGCTCCGTTGGCTTCGTTTCTAGGGTCAATACTAATCCCTTTACAAGAGACTTCGATGAGGTACATGATATAAATATTACAATATATGAGAATGTTATGTTACGGCAGATTAGTTCTAAAACTGTTGATCCACTGATTTTCTTATTAAAAAGAGTATTTTGGTCACTTTCATTTAAAAAAAAAAAAAAAGAATTACCAAAACACCATGTGTTTGCCATCCAATTTAAATAAAATGTCTAAAATGTTTTTTTCCTTCTAATTTTGGTCATCTAATTATGTTTTTAGCTGATAATTACTACGCTTACACTTCTCATAATTGTTTTTGTATCGTATGTATGTAATATATACTCCTTTTTAAAGTGGATGAGTGTATATATATTATGCAACAATGAAAGTTGGTGGTATATATTAGACTTCTTCTCTAACTTTATGAGATATTTCTTCTGTTATGCTCAAGTTTTACTACAAGAAAAAGTAATGGAGTTATTGTAGTGTCTTAATGCAACAATGAAAGTTTAACAAACATTTTTTTGTGATAATTAATATGTACGTAATTAAGGGGACAGCGGAAGCTTCGAAGGGAAGAGAAATCCAGCGTGTGTCTGGCACGTGCGAGGAAGTACATGATGGTATCATAGG